CCCCCCCCCCCCCCCCCCCCCGCCCCCGCCGCTGGTCTAGAGCAGATGCTATTATTGATAAAAAAATTCCTCCATCATGATGGTTACTATTGACACTTGCTACCGTTCTGGCTATTGCCCGAATGCCTGTGCCTCCATAATGCTAATACCGAGGGGTTTTTTTTTTCGAAAATACTGCATATTTTCAGCAAAAGTGCCTAGAGCAGATGCTATTATTGACAAAAAAAGTCCTGCAAAAAAAGACAATAGACTATCGATTGCCAAGAGGAATTACCTTAAATTCATCTTCTGCCATAATTGATCCAATAGCCAAATTCTGTATGAAAGCTTTGTTTTTCTTGATGTCTTCGGCCGTCAAATGTTCTCTTCTGCAAATCCTCAATTTACAGTATAAATCTTTCATAAGCCAAAATTTAATGCGAGAAGCAATGTAGTTATGATTTAACTTATGCAAATTTTTAAGATCTTAAAATTTTACTATACTGAGAATTGCAGTGGGAGAAATATGACAAGGTTTGCATATGAAAGCAATATTTATAGCAAAAAATAATCTTCGGATTATAGAAATTCACTTACCTTTTACGTGTAACCAGCGACATACCTTCCACTGTGTAGTAAACGGCACTGTAATCACCAACCTGCTCCTAAAAAAGTCAAAAATACGGACTTATTTTTTAAAAAAACCAGTGTAAACAAAAGATCATAGTCTGAAAAATTAAGAAATTTCAATCTGATGATACTGGGCAATCAAGTTTGCAACTACTACAATAAGTAACTTCATAGTTTAAACGGGCCCGTAGGAGAACATCACAGTGAAATTTTGTAATTTTGGATTTCTACAGCAATTTTCTGGTGTATTTTGATAAATTTTGTAATTAAAAATAATTCAAACCAATTTTTCGTGCTTGAAAATCCAGCCGGTCATTGTTCGTTCGAATGTTATCGGTTTTGTGGACATCTGTGCACTAACAATATCCGAGGACATCAAAACATCCACTTCCTCATCCAACTCGGCCTCCGATTCCTCATGCCTTATCCGTTGAAATACCTACGAAAAAAAAAAAGCTTTAGACATGCGGAATTGTATTTCGAAAATGGTCGTTCTCAGTTCGAAAACTCAAAAAGAAAAGTATACCTTAGATTCATGATCCAGGATTACCAGCTGATCTTTCGATCGATCACAGTCGGAGGTAAAAATAAAGGAAATATCGCCACGTTCCCATGTTCGATCGTTGAAATCAACTAAGGTTGTGTCAAGCCTCAAACTTGTTCCACGTTTGTATATTTTGCAAACATCAGATGGCAGCATCCTTGAAAGCAAAGGAACTGAAATAGAAGGGAGCATGAAAGCATAATATCACTAAATAAATCAAATCAAAAAAAGTTAATGTCACTAAATAAATCAAAAAAAAAAACAGAAACGTACTCCAACTTTGAAAATCCCATCGTAACTCCAAATAAAAATCGCCAAATTCGGAAAGCATCTTCAGCAGATGTGGTTTACGAGCAATCAGATTTTCACGTGACTGCGCCTTCAGTTTACGTAACATTGCCGTTACTAAAAGAAGACAAATTTAATCAGGTACTAACACAGAAACGAGTATTTTATGTTTCTTTAAACGAAAAAGTTAAATCTTTCTCGAGCAAATATGATGGTTTCATAAGGAGCTAACTTATTTACTGGCATTACAATTAGATAAATCATCCTCAAAGCTAGCTTACTCGCTAATCGACAACTATTATGCTGATTGTAGCATTCAGTTTGACCCTGGATGCCGAAATTCGAAGGCGCATTGAATCCAGAAAGCAGGAGAAGAATGAGGAAAGGAGGCAAGAGTGAGATGTTTCGGTCCATTAAGTCATATACGTCTTAACTCAACACTGCGACAGGACCCTGTCAGTACAGCGGGAGCAGTATTTAAAGGAGAAGGAAAAGGAAAGGGAAAGAGATAGAGAAAGACGCAAGGAAAGAAAGGGAAGGGCTGTGACTGTGAGATTAAGGCGATAAAAACGAAGTGGCGAAGAAATAAAAGAGAAAACAAAATTTAAAATATTTTAAAAAAGGACATAAGAGATTTATCTACCACGATGATGCAGGAATTAAACATCTAGTTAGTACGTTATTCTCATGAAAACTGCCTCCTCATAACTACATAGAATTACTACTCATATCACATGTTACTTTCCTCTACACTCTTATTGCTTTCATGCTGCTGCACTTTTCCACTCTCTCTCTCTTTTTCTTTCACATCTCCGTCTTGCAAAATAGTTACATGTCCT